AGCCAAATAACACTTAAGAGGTTTAAGTTGTAGTGCAGTGCTTGGGCAGCAGCCTCAGAGGCAGTGTCCGCGACTTGGCTTGACAAAGCCGTGGCTGATGGGATCTTGGCACTGGCCTTCCTTCTGTGGGAGGTGGGATATAGACACCCAGAGTTCCCCCACAGCCACAGGTCTGATCCCTCTCCAATTGCTTTTGCTTTTTATTATGTTTTCCTTGTACTTCTTCCATCTTCATGTTGCTTTGAATGCTCTTAAATACTACTTTGTAATGCATGTTTTGGTTCCAGTACATCATTCTCCTGAAATATGCTTTTCCATTCCCTGTTTCATCTAACACTGGAGGGATGTCCACTTCACATGACATTCCTCTTGGATACCTTGACTCCCCGTGCAATCCTGGTGTCTTTGTCCTTTTCTCCCCTCTCTCTGTCCTTTGTCACTGCCAGGTGGCCTCCTGGGGACAAGGCGTAGCTGTGGACTTGGCAGTGCTGTGGTTCATTGTTGGACTTGATGATCTTAGTCTTTTCCAGCCTAGACAATTCCATGATTCTTTTTGCTTGGCTTGTGTTTATTGCTGTGTTCATAAAACCACAGTCCAGAGTGAAGACATAAATTTATGGTCCTCTGGTTAGTGTCTCACCTTTGTCTTATTTCCTGACAACTATCTTGCCATCCTTTCAAAGGCTGAATTCAAAACCATTTCTCTTTCCCCCTTTTCAGGTATTTCCTTTCAGGAATTCTACCTGCCACATAAACCTCTGGCTGTGGAGTGACAGTGTGATTTGATAAGCTACTAAGAAAAGCTGATAATACTATTTAGTTAAATCTTTTATATGCTGTTTAACTTAAAAGTACTCCGACACTGGAGTTAGTTTAACCTTTCATCATGTCAAACTCCTGAAGCACAAACGAGTCATTTAGTGCATCAAGACTTTTAAACATAGTGGCAACGCAGAACAAATAACTTTGTAAGGAAAAACTTAGGGAGGAGCAACAGGAACAAGATTTCTGTCTCTTGGCTTTGCTGTTGTACTGAGTGAAACCTTAGTGAGGTTCTCTGCTGCACTCCGACCTGACACTTTCTATTGTGCAAGTGGGAAATGTTCTTCCCGTGTTCTGAGCAGGCACTGAGGAGGGGACTGACCTGCAGAGGTTCCTTCTCAAAATCATTCAGAGATCTCGAGGAGCAAGATGTGAAGTGTTCCATCTTTTAACAGGCACAAGATAGAAAGTGCCTTGTTGTCTAACAGGCATTCTGATTTGATTTTCCACACAGAAGAAACAAAAAGGACCATCTGTGACTGCACTCCCACTTGCATTACTTTGCTTTAGGATTAGCTCAATTGTTTGAATACAGAACTTCCCGTTATAAACCTGTTCCTTTATTGAATCATGTACGGTATCCTACACGACACAAGGGCAGAGGTTTCCCATTCACGTCGTACCTTCCTTCCCCATACAGATATCTGGACTGGGCTTTCCCAGCAGCACCGCATTGTCTGCGGGAGGCAACGGCTTCTCGGGCGGCCAGTGGGTGCGGGGCAAGGCGAACAGCCCCGGCTGCGGGCGAGCGGGAGGAGGCAGCCGCTGGGCTGCGCCTGCAATCGGTGCGTTGCCCCTTTAACTGTGTCCCCGGCCCTCGGGCGTCTCTGTCCAACGCCCACGTCAGCAAATACCTTTTGTTTCTCTCCCGTTCGGGCTCTCGGGGCTGCGGGACCGGCGCGTCGCCTCCAGCCAGCGCCAGCCCCGCCGCGGGGCCGGGATCCCGCACCCACCGCCCGCTCCCTTTGGATCAGCGGCAGCCGCCCGCAGGACCCGCCCGGTGAGTGGCGGTTGTGCTGTGCACCGACAGGTCGGACCGGCCGTCGGGCTGAAGGCGGCGGGGAGCGAGTCCAGCTGCGAGGGCGGCTCCGGGCTCCTCGGGCTGCGGGCTCCGTGCCCTCAGGTTCCCGTGCGCTGCGGGGTCCGTGCGCGGCGGCCCCGCGGAGCCGATCGTGGTTTGGGCTGCGCGGCGTCCTCGGCGGGCGCCATTTGCAGCCCCGGGCGCGGCTGGAGGGAACCGGGCGCGGCAACAAAGGGCTGCGCGGGAGCGGGCGGCGGGGCGCGGCGGGAGGGGCGCCGGCAGCGCGGGGAGGCTGCGGCCAACCTGGGCGGCCGCGACTCGGGACACGCCGGGCGGCGGCGGAGCGGCAGCCGGGGCTCCGGTACCGCGGGCGGCTCCGGGCTGCACGCCCAGCCCAACGCAGCCCAGCCCTGCCCTGCCCTGCCCAGCCAAGCCCTGCGGAGGGCAGCGCACGCTCTCCCGGAGCACCGACGGTCGCGGGCGCTGCGGTGCCCGCCGTAGGATCGGCCCCGCGCAGCCACCAGGCGCCTCCGCGCTTCGGCGGGCGGGTCCGGCGGCGCCGGGCGACCCGGGCGGCCGAGGGCTGAGCGGCCAATGCGGCCGGGCGGGCGGGTGAGTGACGGCGGCCTCCGCCAATGCCGGCCGGGAGGGCTGCGCCCGCTGGAGCACCGCTGCCGCCGCCGCGATGCGCTGTGGCAGAGGCTGCGCCCGCAGCGCGCGGTCCCGGCCCGGAGGCTCCGGTAGGCAACCGTCTGCCGAGGCGGCTTTTCACGGCTGGACATCGGTAACACGTACGATATTCACGTTTCTAAACACAGGCCCAGTGTTAAATAACAGTATTCAGCCCATCCGGTTTAGGTTATCAACGGGTCCCCTTGTTTTTCCTCTAGAACAAGCCATTAGCTCCCCGCGGGCATGGAGATTTCCTCCCATCAGTTTCACCTCCTGGAGCAGCTCAACGAACAGCGGAAGCAGGACTTGTTCTGTGACTGCGATATCCTGGTGGAGGGGAAGGTCTTCAAAGCACATCGCAATGTGCTCTTTGCCAGCAGCGGCTATTTCAAGATGCTGCTCTCACAGAGCTCGAAGGAGACGAGCCAGCCGACTGTAGCCACATTTGAGGTCTTCTCCCCAGAGACGTTTATGGTTATCCTGGACTTTGTGTACTCGGGCATATTGGCATTAACTGGTCAGAACGTGATCGAGGTCATGTCTGCTGCCAGCTATCTGCAGATGACGGATATCCTGAATGTCTGTAAGACATTCATTAAGTCATCCCTGGACATTAATGAGAAGGAGAAGGACCGGTACCTCAGCCTTTCAGCCAAAAGCACAAACAGCGACCCTGCCCGTTCCACCCTGTATTGCTCGAGGAGGAAAGCAAAGAGCAACCCCCGGCGCTCCTACTCCCTCCCGGATGAAAAGGCTGCTGCGGCAAATGAGAACTCATGGAGCAGCTGCCTGTCCTCACCAGTGATCCTGCAGCGGACAGAAACACAGCTCTCCAAGAGAGGCAGAAAGCCAGGCTCGGCGAGGAGACGCCGCAAGCACCTCGGTCTGGCCCAGAGCCGCGACTTTGCGCAGTATAAACCCACGAAGGCTGAGAGGGCCGGTGGCACCGGCAGTGCCTCGGACACCGGCCACATCTCCCGTGTGAGAGAGGAGGTTGAATTTGATGCTGAGAATGATGTTGACCGTGATTATGAGTGTCATGATGGATCGGACACGGTGCCGAAGAGGTGGTCTGTTGCTCATCTGGAACAAGAACTGTCAAGGACGCCTGAGTTAACGGAGTTTAAGGCAGAGGAACTATACACCTCAATGCCCAAGATTTTAGGAGTAATGACTACTTGGAATGAAGGTAAAAAATACAGTTTTGCAAAGATTGTCTTCATTTGGAAGAATTCACATAATCTTTTGAAGAGAATTTGTATGGCTGCAAGAAAACCCAGACGATGCCTAGGCTTGCAGATTGTTTTATCTCCTCAGTTGTAGCACCTGAGACTTTAAAGCCAGAGCAGAGCATGAGAATTGCAACCAGAGAGCTTGACCCAGGTGTTCCATGAAATGAGAGCAATGTGTGGCACATTATCTGGACACACGTAGTGGTTAATGAAGCTTCGTAAGCTGTAACTGACCTGGGGAACTGAATTTCTCCTGTGAGATCCCCAATGCCTGGCAGAGATGGAGGCATTCAGCCTAAATCCAGCCCCAGGCGGTCACAGTAGCAGGTCCTGTCCTTGACAGGATGCTGCATTCCCTCACACACCAAACCAGCTCACACTTCACAACCATTTGGCCATGCTACATAAAGCATCTGACTGACAGCATACGCCCAAAATAAATGTACCTGTATTTCAATACAACTGTGTATTTTTAGGACTCTGTGCATTCTACTATATTAAATAGAGGTTAGAATGTTCAAGCTAAATGGTTAGCTGATGGGACAGTCAGATATGATGACTATAGATAATAGCTTTGTACTTATGACCATGTGTATCTCTAAAGAATACCCTAAGGAAATGCTCTGAAATGGCCATTTAACAAGCTCCGTAAGAAATACTGGCTTTGGGGGGTGGTATTTGGGGATGTTTAGTGACAAACCAAAGGGAAAATTAATCAGAGAATCATAGAATTATTTGGGTTGGAAGGGACCTTAAAGCTCATCCAGTTCCACCCACCTGCCACAGGCAGGGACACCTTCCACTAGAGCAGCTTGCTCCAAGCCCGTGTCTAACCTGGCCTTGAACACTGCCAGGGATGGGGCAGCCACAGCTTCTCTGGGCACCCTGTGCCAGCGCCTCAGCACCCTCACAGGGAAGAGCTTCTGCCTAAGAGCTCATCTCAGTCTCCCCTCTGGCAGGTTAAAGTCATTCTCCTTGTCCTGTTCCTACAGGCCCTTGTCCAAAGCCCCTCTTCAGCTTTCTTACAGTTTTCTTTAGGCACTGGAAGCTGCTCTGAGGTCTCCCTGGAGCCTTCTCTTCTCCAGGCTGAACAGTAATTACTTATTTAAACTGAAAACAACCAAATTACTACACAAAGAATGACTCCGTGTTTCTCTGTCACAGATGACCTACCTCGGATGCGCTTCAAATGCCCGTTCTGCACGCACACGGTGAAACGCCGCGCGGACCTGAAGCGGCACCTTCGGTGTCACACAGGGGAGCGTCCGTATCCTTGCGACGTGTGTGGGAAAAGGTTCACCCGACTGGAGCATTTACGGAACCACTTCCAAACGGTACGGCACCTCTGTCGGAATCTGGCCTGGAAAACCCACAAGGTTTCATTGCTAGCGGCTGTTCGGCCATAGAATCGTAGAATAGTTTGGGTTGGAAAGGACCTTAAGATGATCCAGTTCCAATCCCCCTGCATGGGCAGGGACACCTCACACTAAACCAGGTCACCCAAGGCTCTGTCCAGCCTGGCCTTGAACACCACCAGGGATGGAAGAATCACAACTTCCCTGGGCAGCCCATTCCAGTGCCTCACCACCCTCACAGTAAAGAACTTCTTCCTTATATCCAGTCTAAACTTCCCGTTTAAGTCTGAACCCATCACCCCTTGTCCTATCACTACAGTCCCTAATGAAGAGTCCCTCCCCAGCATCCTTATAGGCCCCCTTCAGACACTGGAAGCTGCTCTGAGGTCTCCATGCAGCTTCTCTTCTCCAGGCTGAACAGCCCCAACTCTCTCAGCCTATCTTCATACAGGAAGTGCTCCAGTCCCCTGATCATCCTCGTGGCCTCCTCTGGACTTGTTCCAACAGTTCCATGTCCTTTTTATGTTGAGGACACCAGAACTGCACACACTGCTCCAGGTGAGGTCTCACGAGGGCAGAGTAGAGGGGCAGGATCACCTCCTTCAACCTGCTGGTCACGCTCCTTTGGATGCAGCCCAGGATACGGTTGCTTTCTGGGCTGCAAGCGCACACTGAAGCCGGCTCATGTTCATTTTCTCATCAACCAGCACCCCAAGTCCTTCTCCTTGGGCTGCTCTGAATCTCTTCTCTGCCCAACCTGTAGCTGTGCCTGGGATTGCTCCCACCCAGGTGTAGGACCTTGCACTTGGCATGGTTAAACTCCATAAGGCTGGCATCAGCCCACCTCACAAGCGTGTCGAGGTCCCTCTGGATGGCATTCCTTCCCTGCAGTATATCAACCAAACCACACAGCTCGGTGTCATCGGCAAACTTGCTGAGGGCGCACTCAATCCCACTGTCCATGTCAGCGACAAAGAGGTTCAACAAGAAAATTTCCAGACCTAATCCCAGGAAAACTGCACCTCAACTTTAATGATTTGTTGTTTAAATTGGCAAATTCCATTTTCAGTTTAATCTTAAAAAAAAAATGATTTGATGAATTTTTCTAAAAACCAAAATAAATTAAAAAAATAAACTTTTTTTTTGCTAAATTCTGACATGTTCCAATTTTACATCACTTTAGATACATCAAGCTGGCAAACTGATCTGCAGGAAGTGCAAGCGCCACGTAACTGAGCTAACAGGATGCGTGGTTCAGCAAGGAACGAGGCGGTACAGACTGTGCCACAAGTGTCTGGCAGAGGCCAATTTTGACAGAGTTCCCGAGGATTTAGATGCAGAACATTCCCCCGTCTCCTCCGCGGGAAACAAACGTCCCAAGTGGGCTCTGGAGGAGGAACAGAAATCGGATGAAGGGACAATGGAGGAACCGTATGATCTGGTTGTTCGCCACGTTGACGACGATGTTCCAGAGGAGGAAGATGAAAAGGTGAAACCAAACCTGAGGTAGATCTATTTGTTCCTGTTGTAGTCGAGATTAAATTACTCCTGTCCTACCAACTAATGCTGGGTTATTACTTTCATTAAAATGAAATATTGCTCCAATTCTAATAGGAGGGGCAAAATACAGACTATGAATGAGTTGGTCTCTACTTACAGACACGCAACAGTGAACTGCTTCTAAATACCATCCAGAGAGTACTTACTGGTTTAGGTTTCATCCCAGAGCTCCTTCTGATAATGGAAGTGCACAGGGCATTCAGTGAGCGTGCTGCCAGCTGAAACCTGTCACTGCCACAGCTTTGTGAGCGGAATCAGGCGAATTCGAGGTCCGGTTTGTAGTATTTAAGGAATATTAAAACCAGAAGTGACTAACACTGACTTAGTTCATTCTGGGTGTTCTTCTAGCAAAGGCCTGTCACCGTATCTGCAAGCAGAGCACTTCACTGTACTCAGCTTGTGGCTGGTGGTGTCCACAGGGCATCTCAGCACTTGTACGAAGTTAAACTTTACCTATATTGATGTCCCGTCTCTCCTTCTCGAGGGCTGGCCGTGAGGAACGGGTTCCATCCCCTCAGGCCCCGGCCGCCCCTCAGCCGCTGTGGAGAACAAAGCCGCCGCAACTCGACGCCTGATTGGCTCATCCCGCTCGCCTGACCCCGGGCCAGCCAATGAGGTGTCAAAGCCGGCGCTGAGGGGCGGTAACCGCGCTCTGCCGGGCTGAGGGGAGCAGGCCGCGGCCGCCATGGCGCTCGGGGCGCGGCGGGGTCGGGCTCTGCTCTGCTGAGGGGACGCCTCGGCCGGTGGCTGCCAGCAGCGCCCGCAGGTGGGTCCAGCCCTCGCTCTTCCTCCCCAGGAGCACTACGTGCTACAGAGGGTGTATATGGAGAGCCCCAGGGCTCCTCCTGAGGAGAGACCCCCTGTAACCACCCCCCCCCACCCAGTGTGAATATCGTCCTTATTTTTGTGTTCTCAAATAGGTGCATTATTATCCTTATTTGCAGAAAAGTCTGCTCACCTCAGCAGAGAGCAAAGTACTTGGTTCACTGGTGTTAAAACTCCGCTGGTCAAAAGTACTCGCACACAAATCATTAATGGTTCCAGTCCAAATTTTGTTTCACATTGGAGCTTTCTCAAAAAATAAAAGGGGTTTTAGGCCTTAATCTTCACAATATGGGAATAAACCCATGTCTGTTTAAGATGGCTTTGTAACAAAACAAAGATGAGACACTACCTCGAGGGGAGGCACCCACGGCACTGACAGTGAAGGGAGCACAGCCTGATGCACTGCTCACCTTTAACTCTCATTTGCCATCCTGTGATTTAAAATAAAGCACTCATGTAATCATTCGTAATTAATTTTGATGAAGTCCATAATCCTTTGACATGAAAGGACTGTGTTGTCCTTTCTAAAGGAAGACAGGGAAGCTGATCCAAATCATCTGCTTTTTAACACAATCAGGTTTCACCATAGTTGGGAGTCAACCGCCTACAAATGTGGAGAATCCCTTTCATTGATGGCAGCAAAGCTGCCTGCTTCTTAGTAATAACAGCAAGCTAATCCTTGCCATTAGGATTCCACGTAGGTATGTATTATGATTCCCTATGAAGATAAGCTGAGAAAGTTGGGGCTGTTCAGCCTGGAGAAGGCTGCATGGAGACCTCAGAGAAGCTTCCAGTGTCTGAAGGGGGCCTATAAGGATGCTGGGGAGGGACTCTTCATTAGGGACTGTAGTGATAGGACAAGGGGTAACGGGTTAAAACTGAAACAGGGGAAGTTTAGATTGGATCTAAGGAAGAAGTTCTTTCCTGTTAGGGTGGTGAGGCACTGGAATGGGATGCCCAGGGAGATTGTGAATGCTCCGTCCCTGGCAGTGCTCAAGGCCAGGTTGGACAGAGCCTTGGATGACCTGGTTTAGTGTGAGGTGTCCCTGCCCATGGCAAGGGGGTTGGAACTGTATGATCCAACCCAAACTATTCTGTGATTCTATGATTCTATGTACATGGTCACATGCTTTAGCATTGCATGCGGGAGTTTATTTACAGCAGTTCAGCACCACCTGCTGGCATGACTTTGTCTGAAGGTGGGGGGGGGGGGTTGGTTTTCCATCAGTACGGTTTAACTGTCCTTTGAATTGTCCGAAATCTGTCTACATTAACTCCAACCCACTGCAAGGGGTTTGGACCCTTTGTATAAAATACGGAGGAGGGATTGCACCTCAGAATTCAAACATTTAAATCTACAAATGAAATCATGTAGTTGAACAGATCTCCTTCCACCCTACAAAAGGGCAGTATTTTAGCTAGCAGCTCCACTAATTTGTCTATTTGGTTTATACAGCACGTAAGACATGCGTCAGCCTTAAGAGCTGACTACCAGCATTCCGAGAGGCTCTCAAACCCTATAGTTCTCTCTTCTTCTCAACATCCCCCCCCAACCCTGCCTAGTTCTTATTTTTCCTGGCATGCAGGTATTTCTCTGTCTCACCATCCTCAAGTCAAAACACAGGCTGACATTCCCCGCAATTACTCCCTTCAGTTGGCTAATTCCTTTGTTACTTCCATGGCATTAGAGTTTAAGAGGCTTCCTCCAGCCAATGACAAGTATTCAGTGGACCATGCTTTTCTTGCTTTAAATATCAATGATGACAAAGACTTCTGGCTTTTCATCTTCACAGATCTGCATGGCCGAATAAGTTATGGCTTTGACCTCTGTGCCCTAGAGAAAGAAGACACAAAAGCATGGATATTATAAATGACATCCCATGTAGCGGTTCATATCAATACTCAGTATTTATCACCTTCTATAAATGCTATCCCAGTTTAACAGCTTTTCCTCCCCAAAAAGCTGTAGCTGCATTTGCTCTGATGAGCAAGAAAGTTGGCACACTAATGCAAGGGCTTGGCCAGGCCAAATAGTGAATAAGTAACTCTTCCCTTACTTTATTGCCTCTTGAATAGTACAAATTCCTCTTCTTACCTCTGACAGAACATGAATATTCCCGTGCCAATACTTAAGTTTAGTGCCTTGCTACCACTCAGATGTGAGTGGATCTCTGGAGAACTTGGAGGTCTGCTTTAAAAGACACCACACCTCCCTATCCCACCCCTAAAATGTCAAAGATGTACAGATGAACCTGCATACCTGAGGGTGTTTGGGTAAAGAGAACTCTTCTCCCCACCTTTAAAGCAAAAAGAAGAGAGGTGGTTGGAATTTGGGTAATATTTACCAAATGTTGTAATTAGTTTCATTGATGAGCATAGGACAGCGAGATTTTCATTTCAAGCCTCAAAGGAAGAAGAGAAGCGCACAGTCCATTTTTCAGAAATCATCAGTGAGCTCCTGCACATCACAGCACTGCAGAGTGTTAGTCTGAAGGCAATATGCGTGTTTTCAGTAACCATATTCATTACTCAAGTCATCATTTAAGCTCACCCAATTGATCTGATTTTGAATTGCATTCGGTCAATGTAAAGCACTTTCACCTCCTGCAGAGAAAGCGAGAGGAGAGACATGTCAGTATCACCTTCAACCTTCAGGCCTCAATTCTCAGTAAATCCCATTTACAAGGGTTATATTCCACTGTTTAGATGGAATCTGAAGCAGCCTCAAAGAGATACATTGCTACTTGGAACATGGAGGCAGCAGAGCCATGTAACCAGAGCTCTGTAATAGCAAATTGGTGTTTGTGGTAATGAAGCTTAACAATTTACTTCTCATAGAACAAATCATAGAATCATAGAATGGTTTGGGTTGGAAAGGACCTTAAGATCATCCAGGTCCAACCCCCCTGCCATGAGCAGGGGCACCTCACACTAAATCATCTCACCCAAGGCTTCGTCCAACGTGGTCTTGAACACTGCCAGGGATGGAGCATTCACAACCTCCCTTGGCAACCCATTCCAGTGCCTCACCACCCTAACAGGAAAGAATTTCCTCCTTATATCAAATCTAATCTTCCCTGTTTCAGTTTTAACCTGTTACCCCTTGTCCTATCACTACAGTCCCTAATGAAGAGTCCCTCCCCAGCATCCCAATAGGCCTCAAGTCTTTCTGCCCTGGTGTTTTCAATTCTCCATGTGTTGTGCTGAAGTGATCTGTTGCATCCCTTTTTCTCCTAAAGCAATACTGAATTCAGAGCTGGTATCAGAGAATAGCCTCAATCTACAAGATAGAAAAAGATCAGAACACTTACCCTGGGTATAAAAAACTCATTAGCGCTGAATTTATACAGCCACTCATCCAAGAAGTGGAAGAGGAGAGACAACATGTCATGGCCTGTGGGGTTGAAGCAGAGAGGACTGTCAGCTGACTCCTGGCAAGAATGCCCAAACATTTTTAAGACTACACATCAGGTATCCTGCTTCTGCTCTATTACAAGATTCAGCTTAGTGATGCTTAAGTAGATTCTAGTTAACTGCAACAACACTACAAGTAAAACTCTGGTACCTTTCTCCCCCCCGAGGTTCATAGAGTTCCAATGAAGCATTTACCTTCTGCCTCCACCTCCACTGTATCCACAGGTTCCACAGTCTCTGTATCAGTCATGTAGCCAAACATGGCCATAACACACTGCTCAAAGGCCTCTTCCAAAGTGTCTCCCCAGGCATGTAGCCTAAAATGACATGGGATAATGTACCAGACTGCAACAAGAAATCCCAACGTAATGTGCAGGTGAGCTATCAGAACATGGAAATTAATGCAGAGCAAGGGAATGAACAAAAGTACTTGCTTTTCTATAACTATGCATTTGAGCAGATTATAGACAGTTTCTGAGAAGAGTTTCTTGGGAAAATATGGAAAATAAATGTTATCAGACCTCAAGAAAGTTCTTTTCTCATATGGTTAATTATGTCTATAAAGGTGAACTACTCAAAAGAAATTTGGTTTAAAAGAAAGATACTAAAAGGAGATTTCAAAAGACATTTCCAAGCAACAGAGGCACAGGAATATTCCACTAGAGAGGAAACCAAGCTTGATTCAGTGCTCCCAAAAGCAAAACCAAAATTGACCATCAAAAACCCCAGTGTGTAATTTCACAGTTCAGTAAGTGTACATCTGCAACCAGACTTCCACAGTTACTCCAGACAAAGCAGCAGAAATAATCCAACTGTCCTGTTGAGAAACCCCATACTTACTGCACATCTGCTGTGTGATCCAGGTCTGAGGGGGAAAGAAAAGGAGAAGGCATGAGATCACCAAACATAGTTAAAAATAAGGATTAAAAAAAAAACAGAAAATCAGATCCTGTTGTTAGAACTTTTTACATTCATTTTCAGATGTGAAATGGGGATTACCTATTTTGAAGTAGATGAGAAAAAGCACAGGTAGAAACTCGGATTATTTTTGCCAAGCACAAAATCAGTGCTTAATGCAATCATGCCAGTGCCCTTGTGTACAGCACTGTGTGCAAAGGATGGCTCTTTTAACACAACAGGCTTCTACATGTTAACTGCAAGAAAAGGAAACTTTAACCAGGAGTAAAGAGCCTTTGCTGAAGTCTGCAGGTCTGGAAGTTATTC